AGCAACTCCAGCAAAGAAGGGGGGGGGGAGGGGCAGAGATGTCCTGAAGCTCTGCCGGCTGGGCCACTCGACGGGAACAGTTGTCAATGTCACCCGGCCCCGCAAAAACGCCCGAACCCTGAGACTCGAAAGACCCCGAGGCAGCGGCGGCGGGGAGGCGGGCGGCAGGATGGGGCCTCAAACAAAAGTTGCAACGCAGGTGTCGAACATGAGCCTGCGTTGGCCCGACTTTTCCCCGGCGAAGAACATGCCGACCTTACTGCGGCGGCCCGTGGCAAGCTTCGTGGCGGCCATCTCCCGGTCGACCGACCCACGGACGAAGGCGGCATATCGAGCGGGGGACCAGCTTAGAAGCGGATCCACGCACGGCCCCATAGGACGGGCTTCTCGAATCAAATTCCGATCCTCATCAGAGGGCCTTAGCAAGTTCACCTGGGCACGGCCGATCCATTCAGAGTCGCCAGGGCTGAGGAGCTCACTCAATGGAACTCGGCGGGTGCCCTCGACTGGCCAGGAAACGAGGTCCAGGGAAAACGGTCGCCTAGCGGTTCCAGCAGAGACGTACAAACCACTAGCGGCGCAGAGTTCATTGAGGGCTCCCGCGCATGAAGAGAAGTCAGCGGGCTGATGGCCGACCTCGCAAAACTGCTTACCCACGCGATCGAGGGCCCTCCTCTGGTGAGAAGTAGGGTTCCAACTGCAAGAGGCCGGCCCAAAACCGTGAGCACTGTTAAGACAAGAGATAGCGTCGTTGGTCCAATCCACAGCATAGACCTGCGATGGCGTCGGAATACGCTCCTACTCGCGAGAATGGCGTCACGGACAGGCCCGGAGGAGGAGGGAAGCAAGGTGGGGGGAGAGATGTCTCTGGCACGAACAGAGGCAGCGCCATCAGGTATCATGCCCAACCGTGGCGCATCGATCGGAGAAGGCTCAATCATGTGCCCGTCCGGCGCCAGAGCCCTCGCGCTGGCGTCGACGGGGGGGTCACCCCTGCTCATCATTCCCCTCCTTGCCGTTCTTCTTCTGGCCCTTCTGGCGGTTCGCACTGCGCTCTTCCCGAGCCTTGTGTCTCTCTTTCATCGCCGAGACCTCCTTGGCAAGCTCCTGCGCGATCCAGTCCTGAAGATCGGGGGCCAGGCAAACGTTGCCCCTCACGAGGTCTGAGCCCAAGAAGAAATGAGAGTCAACCTTGTCATCGGCCCCGATGGTGCGGTCTCGGCACAATTCTTGCACCTGGAGAGACCGCCCGGCATCTCGAAAGACGCCACCTCTGCGATATTCAACTGATCGTGGCAGGCGGCCGTCTCCAAGGCCATGCACGCGCGGAGGTGCTCCCCCACCCCAGGCTCCGAGCCTGTCAGGCGACCCTCCGTCTTCTAGCGGTTGTGCCTGGCGACCAGAGACCCCCCCGTTCGTGACCATGAACTTACTCACCCATAGGAGGGTCCGAGGTCCACGCGCTGGCCAGCCCGCGAAGAGTGCGACCGTGAAGCTCGAGACAGCAGCCCTGAACTCCTGGTAACGGACCCCCTGAATATCGATCCCGACGGGCTGCACCCTCAGGCCGAAAGCGACGGCCGCAGCTGCCCCTCCACCGGCGGGTCCTCTCGCGGCGCCGGCCTGCAGACCTCTCACTGGCCCGGCGACGAGGGGAGCTCCTCCAGCGGCGGGCCCTGCGGCAGCCGCAGCGGCTCCGCCTCCACCAGCGGGACCAACGGCGGCAGCACCAGCGGCAGCCCCAGGCAGCAAGGCACCTGCTGCCGCGGCTGCGCCGCCGGTGGCGGCCGCGGCGGGCGGCGCCAAGGCCCTTGCGGGCGCGCCCGCGGCGGCAGGCCCTCCGAGGGCGGCAGCCAGGGCGGCGAGGCCTCCTGCAGCCGGCGGGCCGGCCGCGGCAGGCGGTGGGCCAGGCTTGAAGACCACCGCCCTCTCGTGCCAGAGAACCGCCCCTGGAATGTTGCAGCGAACCGCGAGGAACTCGCCCCCATCGAGACCGCCAGCAGCCACAGGAATGCCCTCGCCGACCAAAAGCGGGCGTCCGACCGTTTTCAGCTGGAAGGGCCCGACAGGCAGCGCGTAGCCCAAGCGGGCGGCCCCTGCCGCCCTAGAGGCCGGGAGGGGGCAGGGCACGAAAGCGATGCACCTGCGCGGGAGCCGCCGCGCCGCCGGTCAACGGCGGCACCCCCCGCGCACCGCCTCGATGATGTCCGCCGCGACCGCGGCTTCCTCGTCGTAGTCATCATCGTCCGGGGTCGGTATAATGTACACCCCTGGGCCGCCGACCGCGGCAGCCACCACAGGCCAGGGGAGCCCCCGAGGCCTCGTCGCTTGAGCGCGATGGCCTCCAGCTGCTGTCGGGCCTGCTCAGCGATCGGCTCCGCCTCGAACGCCTCCGCCATTGTCGCCCGACGGGCACGCGGCGGGTGGTGGGCCCCCTGGGCCCCCGCAAGGGGCAAGCGCCCCAGGACGAAACCGATGCTGAGCAGGACCAGCCACCACCCCGGCGACCACAGCAGGGAGGACTCGCTAGTCTCCTGCTTGATCTGGTCGCCGCAAGTCACGGCGGGGCAAGAGGGGCAATCGCAATTGACCACGGGCGAGCAGCCTGGGCAGGGAACGCGATTGGCCCAAGTGAGGAGGGCGGCCGAAGACGAAGTAACGAGAAAGTTGGCCGCCCCCTCGAGA